AGAGAATTGTATTATTTTTTAATTTTTTTAAAATATTTTTAAAATTATTGTATTTCTGTTAATAAATCCTATCGTTTTGAAGTATTTATTTACAATCTAATTAATGTGTAAAGAAAAAGACATATTGTGATCAAATAAAATACCTAAGTTTTTATTAAAAGTAACTCTTGCTATATTAAGTTTTTTCGAAATCGTAATATATCCGGATAACTTAAAAACTTCAATTTTGGTAGTATAACCTTAAACTTTTGAAGATTGAAGCAGTATCGTCTCTACACCAGTTTCCAGTTTTTAAACTCAAATGTTAAGGGGGTAAATGTTGAGTTCAAAACTTGAATTTTTCAAAAATAAAATTAGCAGGCTTAATGTGAAAAAAATTCAAAATAATTATTACTCACAAGGTTAAACAGACGTATATAAATGAAACGAAAAATCACATAATGCGTTTTTCAACTTTTTGCTACTACAATTACAGACGAAATAATGGTCGTACATACTTCGACCACAGATACTTTTTGAATTCCCGTACGCCAAAAGACCCTAATCTCGTGTTTAGTAATGATCAAACGAAAACCCAAAATCTATTACTGCGTAATTTTCCAAGTACAAAAAACACGAAAAATCATAACTCCCGAACTAAAAGTTCGATAACCTCAATATCGGTACCTATCGATAAGGCGCAAAGTCATGTAACCACATACTACAAAAACGGCTCACCGTGCCCAAAATCTAAGTTCCGTACTGAAAACTCAAAATACACGCCAATTTTGAACTTCGAAGCCCCAAAAGACGGAGAAAAACGGAACTATGACTCAAGATTCAGAATTTGATCACCGACCTCCAAACTATAGACATCTCGAGTTTCAGAACCTTTGTACAAAAACTAAACCTTTTCTGAAATACACCATGGGAGGAGGGGGCGTCGAGGACTCCCCGACTCCAGGAGTACGTTTTAGAAGCGCCAAGCCTAAACTGGAACGTTTGGTAACTAAAAAGTATAATATTATCTTATATTCTTATGTGAATGTCATCTACAACCTATAAATGATTTATTGAACTTAAAAAACTATTAGGTACCTACATTTTTAAATACGTTTGTTCACATTTGATAATCAGCAGCATAGACGATTCTATATCGCTAGTTTTCCTAGTAGTTACATATTCATATCATCATATCGATAATAAATCTATTTGAGAGTGTTAAACATGAAAAATTATTTAAATAATTGATGAACTATATAATTTCAATTATCAAAATTAACGATAAGTCTTGAAAATGCTTATAATTAATGCTTTTATTTATAACTAAATGTATTTTGTTATAATACTATAGTATGCTATGTCTTGAAATCTACTAATGTTGGACAATAGCCAATAGGTATAGTAAATTAGTAAATGGCATACGTATATTATAATATAAGGTATGTACCTACTCTATTCAGAACTATTATGGTCGTCTGTTTCTGGATGAGATTAATCCCACATAGGAGAACGAGAAATGGTGAAATCTAAAGTTTATTGATAGAGAATTTTATGGAGATTCTATTTAAATGATTAGCGTAACGATTTTTTTAGTAGCTAAAAAGATAGTTTCAAAAAACCATAAAAAAACAAAAATCAATAATCATAGATTATAAATTATGATTACGAATCATTAATCGCTATAACCACGGTTCGGGTTTTAGATGGTTACCACTTAAAATGCAAACAATATTGAGGTTATGTTCGATTCTTACGTAAATAATATGATAATATTATAGGTACGTTAATATTTTGATGATTTAAATTTTAAAGTTTTTTGTTGAATTTATCATGAATCATGGTAGGTACATGTTGTTATAATATTATCATGGAATTTATTAAATATTTTACTTTTTTTACTCTTTAAGTAGGTTTCATATAATTTATTAATATATTCACTAGCCAGTGCCCAGGTACCTGTCATTGTGTAGTATACAAATTACAAACAACCAATCTAAACAGTTTACTTTTGATGTGATTTTCGTAAGTAATACATAGTTTTTTTCTACTAACCTGCTTGTGTATTATGTAGATTTTATTTTAAACTACAGTGTAAATGTGTAATTATTTCTAGGTAAAATATTTCTACAAAGTATTAAAACCAATTAAAACCTAATATGATATCTACAAGTTAAGACGATCTCATTCAAAAATTCAAAACTGAAATGTCTCAAATCATGTAAGTTCTGTTTAGTATTAAAATGCCTATAATGTATCGGTTATCATACATCTCAAACAATTATACAGATACATCACAACAACAATTATTTATCTTACAAAGTTGCAGTCAGGTATGGTTTGACCACCCGGGGTTTTGTAATTGTTTACTGTTACACAGAGGCGTGCGCAGCCCATTCTGGCAGAGTGGGTCAATGATACTTGAAACAAATTATTTTATCTGTTATAAAATTACTTTCATTCTCATCAGTCATCATCCACTGTTTACATTTTAAGGTATAATTATTATATTTATTCATAAGTAGGGCTAGGAATATAGCATTTGCATGTTTTTTTTCTTTAATTCCAAATTGATTGGTTGTGATTACTTCATGTTTGGCTTATCCTCAATAAATAAAACCATTTTGGTTTGCATATTGCATATTTTATAGATTAAAGACAATCTTGTTAATTTTGTTGGTATAAATATACCAATGTCTTTTTCACAACAATTTACTTCATCTATTTTTGACACCTGGTATACAAAAACTTACTATTTTATAAAACTATATTACAAATTATAAAATCCAATAAATAGATATTAAAAATAAAACATTTGAAAAAAACTAACAAATAAATTGTGTATTTTTTAAAGTTCATATTTTTTACTATAATTGAACTCTACTTTAGGTGATTGAAATTTTTTTTATTAATAGATACAAAAAAATAAAAAATGGTTAAAATGTAAATTAAAAAATGAATTTACATTTTCAATAATATGCTAAAAAAATGTTAGAAAAAAAATTCTCTGGCTTATTGAATTAATGTTTAAATATTCACTCGACTGAAAGATTAAAAAATCATATCACCTCAGTACATCACTGTCCAGCCAGTTGTAGCCAGTCTACATTATATTGATAAATTTCTCACCTTTGATTACTTAACATGGTTTGTTTGTCTAAAATAAATAAAACATATAATTAAATAGATACTTGGTGTAATTTAATTCATTTATTGAATAACAATTATATTAACTGTAACTCCCTTGTTCTATCCGGTGTGAAACTATTCTACAAGTAAAGCGTACCTATGACTGTAGAGTGTACAAATCTATTTTATATAATTGAAGTTGGGTAAAAACATGTGAAATAAATTAAAAAATATGTTTAGAAATTAAATAAAGTGGTTTTTAATTAAACAGTAACAACACTGTATTGGTATAGTGAAATACTAAACCGTTACCTAATTCTTAGATAAATTATTAAAGCTGAAAAATATATTAAATAATGGACAAACTATTTTTGTATTATTTTCTGGAGATAAGCTTCTTCAGACCTTTTTATATTAATTAGTCAATTTCAGTTTTAATTATAAATTATAATTTATTTATTTAATTTTTAAAAGGATTAAAATAAAATATTTAAGAAAAAAACACCCGCTGAAAAATTACATTTTCTGCTCTACACATTGGGCATACAGAGTTTTGTTGTTGTTATTCCAACTGCCTTACACACACATCACACACCCATGCGTGACCACATGGTAATACTATATATTGCTGTTCACTTTCAGCTAGAGACATTACCAAACATGTCATACACAAGTTTCTGTTGTCTGGCAGTTGAGGTACGTTTGGCGAATCTGGAGGGTTCATAATTGGCGGTGAACCTGGTGCATCATTAAACGGTTGATTCAGATCCAATTGCAAGTTATTATTTTCCACTGGCTGTGGATTAATAACATTGGGAATGTGATCTGGTACTGAAACTTCATTTGCTGGAACATTGTGGTCTGATTCAGCATCAACATCAGCATCGTTCAAAGCCCAGGTTTGCAGCCTTAATTCATAAGCTGCGCTGGTATACGAACAACGCAGAAGAAATTGCTATATGGATATTTGTCCTAATTGGTATTGCTGTGTAGCATATTTTATCCTGTGAGAGTTATCCAAAAACTTGGTTCTCACATGCCTAATGGGACGCAAGTGGTTCAAAATTTGTTGATCAACCAAATGGTAACTGGTACTCAAAGTAGTTAAAGTGCCTATTTAAAAATTACAAAATAAAATAGGTATTATCTTTTTGGTATTATTTATTAAGTAACTAGGTACCTTTATGATTATAATTTGAGACTCATTATATTAGGTTTTACAACGAGTGTAATTAAGTAACTATGAAAAGATTTTTTTTTCATTTAAGAAGATTTAATTTAAGTTTATAATTATAAATAAATACAACCTCTCATAAAAATATATTCATTTTAATGTAGTAATTTTAATTTTAATTTTAATATAGTAATTTGATCCATACTTCCAAAACTTAGAGTCTACTATCTATTTATACCTTTAAGTTTTAATACAACTTGATGTAATTTTGTTGTATTGTACTTACGCATACATTTCTTACCGAGAAATATCCATAAACTTGGATGCGCAATAGAGAACTTTAATCTTAAGGTGTTATGGAAGCTCTCAATGTTATTATTTGTCCGACGAGGCAGTCCATGAACCGAAACAACTTGTGGACCAATATTTCTTAACCAATAACTCAAAAGGAAAATGTCAATTATGTTATTGGGGTACATGTTTATATTTAAATGTCTAATACCTGATACGGGTATCCTATTCCTGGTAGAATATTATTTCCAAATTTGCTTATAACAACTCCCACGTTATCAAGGTATGCTTTTGCTACTTTTCTGAGTATAAAAAAATATTTGAGTTGTACTTTGATATTTATTATATTTTACATTAAAATGTTTATTTAGATCAAATAATTAATTGATAATTACCTCACATCCATTAACGATAAGGAAAACCCCCATTAACCACATTTCATCACTGCACTTAGTATACTTTTCTCTTCATCTTCACTAAACACTGTCTGACCACCAGTTGTTCTGACATGTTTACCATGAAAATGGTTATATAATGTACCATAAGGTATACTATAACGTTTGCTAGCAGCCAACACTGATAGTTCGCCATTAACTATGGTTCCCAAGGCATCTTCTATTGTGGAATCCGCATAATTCCCATAGGGTCTGCACACAATTTTTTTTTTGTACTTGCGAGCCACTATAAACCACAAAAAGTGCATACTAAAATGTATTTGCATTTGAGTCAAAGTCGCCCCTTTCCAATTCTCAATCTCACCCCAAGATACATATTACTATCATACTCAATAGATAAATTATTTTTAATTGTAACGATTATTCAGATTTGTTCCATGCTGGTGTATCATTTGGACCATATTAATAAAAAACTAATTATATAATATTTTACTTACTTTGTGGCGATATTTTGTCGCTAACAGGAATTTGACGACCAACACGCACGTTAGTAAATGTGATAATACTGATTGATGAATTTAAAAACGTGATTGTATCAACGATAAATATTATCACAATCTAACCACTTGTGGTATTATCGGCGTTGCCACACTGTCGTGGCCCGAAACGTGGTTCGGGTGTGCCAATTAATACTCGTGTTTTGAACCAAAACCAGAAGGTATAAAAGAGGTAGGTAGGTAAAATAAGAAGTAACAAATTCGGCGTACGATCGATGGTGTATATTTTTAGGTAAACAAATAATTCAAAAAATGTTATTCGACGGGTAAACTTTGTTGCGCGAAATTACAGGGTGAGTCGTCGAGACGTATGGCTGCTCGAGTTGAGAGCGAAAAAGCGAGTAACGAGAGTAGCGCGCGACGGCGGCTTCGAGCACGTAACGGCGAAGTCGCCGCGCGAGCGGGAGAAAAAGTTGAGCGGCGAGTTGTCACGTGACCAAAGACGGTACAACATCAAATAATATAATTCACAGAGATGATAAATAAAACGAATACAAAATAAATCACATGACGAGTACAATATAAAAAGGGCGCGCTAGCGTAAGTGGTGATAACACGTCGGAATCACCACATTACTCCCCCTCGGCGGGAAAAAAACGGACTCGTTTTTTTGGGAGGTGTTCGATCGGACGCACCGTAGCTCCGCATGAATAAAAATATTTTGTGAATCCGTAACTCCGCTGCACCGTATCTCCGCACGGTCGAAAACACGAACGCACCGTTACTCCGCATTCTAAAAATATTTCAAACACCAAAAGTCCACATGTCATAAAACTGATATAATATAAAATTGATAACATATTATTATAGGTAATAACTAATAACCAATATATATTTTATTTCCCCTAGTATCCAACGTTTACGGGACGAATTCAGTTCTCTGATCTCGGAGTGTTTGCTTAAAATATAATTGCTAATTGTTAATTGTTAATTTATTTATTAGCTTAAATTATCAATTATATATATATTATTATATTATATATTTAATTAAGTTTTATTTAAATTTTAAATATGATAGCAAGTGAACGTGAAATAAGGGTTGTATACAGTCAACGGGGAAATGTGCTATTAGTAAAAAGTAACTACAAATATTCCAAGTATACAGAATTAATATCCGGGGAAATTGGATGGAAATGCATACAAAAAATGTGTACAGCAATACAGTTGATTATAATTTTTCGCGGGAATCAGGGACACATACAAATGAAAGTATCGAAACCAATATTATTGTTCGACAAAAGATTAGTAACGGGATAAAACGAAAGGGACTTGATTATATTACTGATCGTCTTTCCAAGTTCATAAAACTTGAAATAGCCAATAATGTAGAAGCAGCTTCGACTTTAACATGTAAAGACACAAAATTAATTAGAGATAGCATTTCTCGTGAACGCTTACGAAATTTACCGAAACTTCCAAAATCAATTTCAAAAGTACACGAATATATTAATAACACCAAGCCGATAACGGTGAAAGACGAATATTTTATTATAACAAATGACCCATTAGATCATATAGGTAATCATATTTTCATGTGATTCAAATTTAAATTTTATGTGTGATTCTCCGACCTTATACGTTGATGGTACATTTAAATAGTGTACGAAATTTTTTCACCAATTATTCAGTATTCACGCATATCGTAATGGTGTATTTGTACCAGTTGTGTTCTGTTTGCTTCCAAATAAAAATAAAGATACATGTACAGCTATTTGGGAAATACTTCGTGAAAAATGTCAATCGTTAAACAAATGTTTGCAACGAAGAACACTAGTCATCGATTTCGAAACGGCAATTCATTCAAGCGTGAAAGATATATTTCCTAATATAGTTATAATTGGATGCCGTTTTCATCTTAGTCAATCATGGTTCGTATGGATAATACATATATTTGTTTCACTTATTAGTACCTATTTTTATTTATTTTTTGTTAATAGGTGGAGACGAATATAAGCAGTTGGTCTTGTTCAAGAATATAAAAACAACGAATCCAACATAGGAAAATGGCTCAGACAATTATTTGGTCTTATGTTTCTAGATCCTAATAAGTTGAACTATGCTTTGAAAATGACTTTAAAAATGACCAACCCAAGGATGCACGAATTAAAAAAATTATCACTTACTTGGACAAAGCATACATAAAAAAAACGATGCAACATTCCCACCCAGTATTTGGGCCAAAAAAAAAGCAACACTGGAGTGAACAACAAACAATTGTGAGTCTTTTCATGCCAAATTTTGTAATTTATTTACTTCCGCACATCCAAATATTGCAGTTTTCATTAAAAATTTATTAGCCAGGCAGATGGACTCTTATATACGAATAAATTCTGCCAATAATAATGAAAGTAGGATAATTAGAACACAACAAAAAACTAATTTACAATTTATAAATAAAAAAATACAATTATATAACGACAACCAAATTGATAGATATAATTTTGTAAAGAGTTTAGCTTCAGTTAATGCAATACATTAGATATTTTATATTTTATTTTATTTTATTTTATTTTACCGATGACGACAATATTTGTTGCAAATTGTCTTTATTATTATTATTATTATTATACTATGTTTAGATTAGGCTGTTTAAGCCGTTTCCAGTAGGTATTACCTTTTTATTCTAAAATATTATTTTTATTTTATTTTAATAACATAATATATTGTATTTAAAATAAATAAATTAATATAATAATAAATAATACCTATTATGTGTATATAATATATTTATACTGTGTGCGGAGTTAGGGTGTTAAAAAAAAATCTTGTATGCGGAGTTAAGGTGTCGAAAAAAAACCTTCTATGCGGAGTTAAGGTGATATATTATAAAATGGCGACGATCCGTGCAGAGTTACGGTGCACCGGTTCGATCGATTGCGTGGCGTACGAATGGTCAGCGGTAGGATCTTTCCGGGCGATGAATGCTGGCTTGAGTCGGTCGATGGAAATCCACGTCGTTGATCGATGGCGCTGTACCTTGAATGTTTTTTCGCGGCGTTCCAAAACTGCAAACGGTCCCTCGTATCGTGGCTGGACGGCGTCGATTCGGATGAAAATGTGACTGACCTGGCTCAGATCGTTCGGTACGAACGTAGGGCGTTGTGTGCTGTGGTTGGTACCGGGCGTGAAACGTAGCTGCGCCATGAAGTCCCGGAGCGTCGCTACGAGCTCGGGTGGTGTAGGTTCGGCGGGCGCGACGTGAAACATTTCACCAGGAAGTCGAAGTGTCGCGCCGTAGACCAACTCGGCTGGAGTGTGCTCGAAACCGACCTTGATTGTGTTGCGCAGTGCGAGGAGGACGATCGGCAGCTCTGTTGACCACTGTGTCGATTCGTGTGCAGTGAGCGCGGACTTCAGCGTTCGGTGAAAACGTTCGACCAAACCATTTGATTGAGCGTGATAAGGCGACATTTTCGTGTGTTGAATGCCGAATGTCGAAAAGAGAGAACGGCACAAGTCGGACTCGAACTGTCTTCCCTGGTCGGTGGTGATGATGTCGGGAACGCCGAATCGTGCGATCCAATTCACGATCAGCGATCGTGCGACTGCGTGAGCTGACATATTCTCGAGTGGCCAGGCTTCTGGCCAGCGAGTGAATCGGTCGACCACGGTGAGCAGGTATTTGAAATTGTTGGACGACGGCAGTGGTCCGACGAGATCGACATGAATGTGACCAAAACGACGTTCGGGCGGCGCGAAGGCGTGATCGGTGAAACTGTATGTTTAAGTACCTTAGCGCGTTGACACGGTTCGCAGCATCGAGTCCATCGCGTGATGTCTTTGTGCATGTCCGGCCAGCAGTATCGAGATTTGATCAGCCGTAGCCGAACAAGTGCGCGTTGCCGGTCGTGTAATCAGCGTAGATTACGCCGTCGACTGATACACGCTGTTGCAGGCCTAGTGAACCACAGAGTTTAATGATAAAATATTTATGGTGATTTACAAATTATGGGGGTGGAATAAGGGGGGGAGACAGAATTGTGGACCTTAAAAGTATAGATATCGGAAAAATATATGAGGATAATAGTACCAGGTGTAGTTAACACGGTGTTTACGAAATCGAAGGCTATCCATGTCTGGCACGGACCCCACTAATGTGTTCTGTGTAGATGTCCCTGGTGAAAGAGACGACTTCACTCACGCAAAGCTTCCTGAGGAGGCTCCTATATGAACGGCTGCATATCCTCTTCACTAGGTCATCGTTTCCAGGGTCCCAGGAGCCCAGAGCACCGACGATTAAAGGGACGACGGTGACGTCTCCAACGGAGCTCTCTGCTAGCTCTCTCCGCAGCTCTTCGTACTTCGTTACTTTCTCGGCGGCTGCTACCTTGAAAGCCTCCAACCTGTTATCGAAGGGGACGGTCGCGTCGATGATTAGCGTCGTGGTCCCCTTCCTAATAACAAGGTCAGGCCTGAGGCGCTGCGTGCCGATTACTTGGTTCTCAGACACGATTTAGTACTTAACGGCAGCCGCCTTTTTGATTCTCGCGACCAGAGAATTGTGTCTCGCCATGTAGAGGCTGGAGTACCGCATGCAGTTATTGACGACGTGCGCTAGGCTTTCTGTTGGGTTAGCACATCGTCTACACCGCCGGTCTCCAGACCTCCAGGATGAAGGGCCATTGAGGGGCACTAGGTTTAATCTGGCCCTACGTATAAAACGCCAGTCGGCAAAGCGGCAGAAGTCACCGCTCTTAAAGAAGTGCGTCGAGGCGGCATGAGCCGCAGCACACTCAATCCTGATCGGGCTTTCCAATCAGCGTTGCGCTCCGGGCCAAGCGTTTAAATTCTCTGATAGTCCTCATGACTTCGCGTCTTTGTTTGGCACGCATGGTGCAGTCAGTGATTTTTATGCTCGGGGGGGCCTCTAGTGACCAGACGATGTCAAGTCTACCCGACGAGTTACGAGCACTAGACCAGACACTGGTGACTCCACCACCTCGCTGCTCGCGAAACACACCGTCATTCGACCCGGACAGGTATGCACCTACCTCGGGGATGGATGGAGTGCGTCCAATTCTGCGGTGGGAGGTTTATGGACGTGCTCAACAGCCTCTCTGGCCACACGCCCGTCGGGGGAGGTTAGCAGCTTGAAGGCGCTGTCGACCGCTGCTATGTCTGCGTCTGTCTGCCACAGCATCCCTGTAACGTAGAGCCGTATAGATATTCGTTGGACGCCTCCTGAGGGACGTTGAGAGTGGTCTTGATCTCAGGCCTCATGATGTCATCAACCCTCTTCCAGTCCGTCTTCGAGAACGTGCCCATACTCTGTAGGTGGACTGCTGCTGGGTAGAAAAAGGTTTTGAGGGCGTCTATTCTCTGCCAGGGAACGAGCTTGCTAATTACGATCTTAAGGCCAAATTCAATGATCTCGGCAATTGTGGCCAACGAAGGGATCATGTTAAAGCCCACCTGTGCTCCGAGGAACGAGGCGGCATCTCCTTCAGCGAGAGGTTTAAGGGCGGCACCCTGCAGATTGAACGTGGTGTCGCGGACCCCAACTGGTGTACGGCCAGACACGTGCAGGGATGCACACTTGCCAGCATTAATAGAGAGTCCCAGGCGGTTCAGGCTTGCCTGTGCGGAATCGATCGCAAGCTGGAGGTCCGGGGCACTGTTTTCAAACAGACACAGGTCATCTGCAAAGGCCAGAACGCGGTGATCCGCGTCAGCACCCTGTAGTGAGGAAACTACTGGATCAATCGCTAGAATAAATAGTAGGCCACTTAAGGGGCAGCCCTGACGGATGCCGGAAAGAACTCGGATGTCATCGGTTTTTCCACCGGTTACGCTGACCGAGGAGGACGCTCCGAGATAGATATCTCGCACAATCTCGAGAAGTCCCCCGCCGGCACCGCTGCACTCAATAGTCGCCAGGCAACACATTTATCCGAGTTGCCAGTTCGGGCTTTCTCTAGCTCTCTCTTGGGTGTGTGCACGTGTTCGAAAGCACCATCTGAGGGGAGAAAACCTTTCTGGCAGGGGCTTAGGACGGAATTGCTCACAAGCCATTCGGTAAGGTGGGCAGCTAGGCATCCCGCGTATAATTTGTACAATGTGCGACATAATGATATTGGCCTCCAGTTGGACGGATGGTCTTTATCCCCTTTCTTATAAATCAGGACGGTCACAGCTTTCTTCCAGCTGGGGGGATCTTACGGTATTTTAGACATATGTTCAGCACTTCCGTGAGGAGGCTGCTAGCTGGATCCAAGCGTCTCCAGTGCTTGTAGGTTAGTCCGTCATCGCCAGGGGCTGTGTTTTCAAATTTTTTCAGGCGCTTGGAGACTTCGATGGGTGAGAACGCGTCAACAGGGACAGGCGTACGGCCATTGACCATCGGGAAGATCGAAGTATCGCAGTGGGACGGGGCCCAGACCTGCGAGAAGTGGGCTTGGATATCACTGACACTGATATTGCACGCCTCCCCTTCACCCGATACAATGAGTCGAATGGCACGCCTCCGGTTTCTGCGGTATAGAGTCTGAATGCCCTGCGCGTCGCCTGGGTCCAGGGCGGAACGTATATTAGCACCGCCTTCAGGCCGTGCGGGGATTTTGGCCGTGCATGCGGCTTCGTTGGTAACGTCGTCCATGGTGGACACAAACAGCTCCCAGTTAGCTGTTGTCACAGGAGCTCTGGCGAGAGCGTGCAGCCGAGGTAAAAACTTGTGGACCGGGGTGGTGTCGTCGGGGGCGAGTATTATCCCTTCTATGTTATCAGTGGTAGTCGCAGTGGCGTCCGCACCGGTGTCGCTCTCATCAGCTTCGCCCGCTAAGTCAAGTTCGCCGATGCTAAGTTCGGAGGGGTGGTTGTCAGCGTCGGGCGATGCAGACCAGACAAAAGCGTCATCACGGCTACTCGCTGCGTATTCGCGGTTATTGTAGAACTCGCCGGGTGAAGGTGCCACAACCGGCCCCTGGGTCGAAAGTGGTGAGAGATGTACAAGTGCAGTGTGAGGTGTAGTAGCTGAGTCCGGCGTTCTCGGAAGGGGAGCAGGCGCCGATACAGTTGCAGGCGATGCCGGAGGCGGGCTGCTTGCGGCCAGGCTGGTCACAGTCGGGGTTGCAGTAGTTGCTGTGGGCGAGATCACTCTCACGGGTGGGTCGATAGTTGGAGGTCTAGAAACCAACACGGGTCGACGTGCGTCACCGCCACGGTGAAGGGCGGGTCCCGGGTTCAGTCGCGAATGCTGCCTGGTCGCCGGAAGGGGCAAAGGAACTGCTGCCGCGGCCACAGCGATTCTACGCTGGTGATTCCTCGTGTGGTTCGCTAGGCCTTGTTTAGATGGATACGAATTCCCGCATCCGTCAACAGTGCACGTAAATCTCGCAGTGTCCTCAACAGTGTCCTCAGCGATTGTATGCTGACATTTGTGAGAGCCGGGTCTCGCGCCGAGCCTTATCCCGCATCCAGTACAGTCCACGAAGATGGCATCTGGAGCAAGGGAGTGAAGGCTGCGAACGTGGCGAGTTACCGACTGCTTTGCCGCTGTCCATGTTTCGGCTAGGAATTCGCCGTGGCATGCGTCGAACGGGCATTTGAGTGTCCCAGGAGCCGGATAGTAGAAGTACAATGCGCCGTCGGAAATAGTAGGCTGCTTGCGGGTTGCGGCGTTGATCGTCGGTGATGCAGCAGGCGTGCATACGGGTACTGGAACCCTGGACGGGGAGTTGACGGGGACTTGGGCGTTGAGTCGTGTGCGGATGTTTGTCGCTCGTCTCTCGGTTGGGTTAGGCGTCGAGTTGGTTGAGCCCGTGGACGTCCCTCCTGTCGTTGCGGAGTCGTCATGGCCCGTGGATGTCCTTCCTGCCGCTGTGGTGTCGACTCTGGTGGAAGGTCCCGCGATCTGGCTGGAGCTAGTGTGGGTGGCCGCAGCGTGGAGGGTGTGGCGGGTAGTCTTACACACGGGAGCTAAGTGTTGTTCTAGTGAGAAATGCGCCGTATAGTTTACGTGTGTTGCAGCACGGTTTTGGCAGCGGAGTATGGCCCAATTCAGGGCGAGGGACTCCGCGTCTTTAAGGTGTGCCACCACTCCACGAATTTTTTACGTAGATTGCGCTACGGGCAGTTTTAGTAGATGCCGGCTACTCCTTATTTTTTATAGTGGGGTTACGCCACTTTATTGAAAACGACCTAGGCCTCACTTTCTACCTCCGGGTGATTTCGGTTGTAGACAACCTCCAATTACCGGAGGCTGGCTCAGCACGTGGGCGCGGTACTCCGGCTGACCGGGTACTAAAGCCTAGCGGAGGTAAAGGCCGTTTCAACGCGCATATCCAGTCACCGAACAATAAACACCGCAAAAAACAGGTAGATAAGCACAGAGAAAACAGACAGAACAGAGATCGGGTTATACCCGGCGACCGGCAAGTTCGTAATGCATGTTATGCTGAATCCGTCTTTTTCGGCGTTAAGCTGATAAGAACCGATTTATTAGATTATAAATGTTTAAAAAATCACAATAATGGGGAACCTACATAATAAAAAGAAATCGAGACAGGGGAAACATAATATATATAAGGAGTATTTTCAAGATAAATGTAAAAGGTATAAAATAGAAAAAACACAAAACAGGTGGGCCTAGTCCCTCACCTGTCGCACCCCGGAAATGTGCTCGATGTAAATATCTCGGGAAGATGAGATGGTGTCGCTCACACACAGCTTCTGCATCAGGGCAGCATACGAGCGGCTGCAAAGCGTCCCCATAAACGGGTCGTTGGCCGGATCCCACGAGCCGAGGGCACCAACTATGAAGGGCACGACCGTTGCCTCGCACCCATGCAGCGCTGCCAACTCGGCCCGCAGCTGCTCGTACTTGCCCTTCTTTTCTGCCGCCGCTGCCTCGAAAGTGGCTAGCCAGTTGTCGAAAGGCATGGTGACGTCCACGACGAAGATGTTTGGGCCCTTCTTCAGAACAATATCCGGTCTCAAGCCCTGGCCACGCACTCCGCGGCTCTACCTTGATCTGGCTTCGCGATCAAGGCGTCGCTTCGTTTGAGCCGAAGAGTGTCGCGTACAGTTCTCATGACCGCCCGCCTATGCTTACCTCCCAATACCGTGCCTTCGTGTGTGATGGAGGGGGCACCATCCAGCGACCACTTGACACCAAGTCGCTTGGAGGCGTTCCGCGCCCTCGACCACACACCAGCGACCCCCGTGCCCCGGACCTCCCGGAACACGCCCTCTTCTTCACCTGACAGGTATGGCCCGACCTCGTGAATGGAAGGGTCCTTGCTGATTCTCCGTCTAGTGACCTCCTTCACGTGCTCAACAGCATCTCCGGCCACCCTCACGTCCGGGGAAGTGATCAGCTTGAACCCACTATCCACAGCTGCGATGTCGGAGTCCTCGGAGAGGAGCCGGATTCCGCAGCAGCCTCGCTTGGTGGACCCGTACAGGTACTCCCCCGACGCCTCCTGCGGCAGGTACAGTGTCGCCTTGATTTCCGGCCGCAGAATCTTGTCCACCCTAGCCCAACCGCTGTAAATGGATGGTTGAGGGATAAAAAAAGGGTTTTAAGCGCATCGATCCGCTGCCAGTTCGCGAGTTTGCTCCTGGCAATACGCAGACCGATGGCAATAGTCTCAGCTAGGGTGGACAAAAGTGGAACGACGTTGAATCCGACCTGGGCACCGAGGAAGGTGGCCGCTTCGCCCTCGGCAAGCGGACGAAGGGGGGAACCTCGCAACAGGAACTGCGTGTCCCGGACACCCACCGTCCGTCGACCAGACAGGTGCAGCGATACGCACTTGGCCGCATTGAGCCGGAGCTCAAGCATGTCCAGGCCACTGTGGGCCGCGTCGATGGACGCTTGGAGCTCTCCCGGACTGTCAGCTATGAGGCACAAGTCGTCCGCGAACGCAAGCACCCGGTGGTCAACGGACTCACCCTGCAGGAGCGCTACAACCGGGTCGATAGCCATAATGAACAGGAGACCACTCAGCGGGCACCCCTGCTTGATGCCCGACCTCACCGGGATATCGTTCGTCAGCCCTCCTGCCACGCTCACCGACGACGTCGCTCCCGTGTAAATGTCGCGCACAGCCAGAAGGAAGTCCTCGCCGGCCCCGCTCCTCTCGATTTCAGCTTCCAGAGCGGGGTGCGGAATCGCGCCGAAAGCGTTCGACACGTCCAGCCAGGCCACGCACTTGTCCACCGCGCGGGTCCTGGCCTTCTCCAGCACTCAATTGAGAGTGTGGATGTGTTCGAACGCGCCGTCCGCCGGCAGGAATCCCTTCTGGCAGGGGCTGAGGACCTTGTTTGACAGAAGCCACTCCGTCAGCCGACCGGCGACACACCCCACGTACAGCTTATACAGCGTCCGGCTGAGTGAGATGGGCCGCCAGTTATTGAGGTCCTCTTTCGCTCCCTTTTTATATATGAGCACAGTCACCGCTTTCTTCCATGCGGGTGGAACCATCTTATAACGGAGGCATACGTTGATGACCTCCGTTAGGACCGTGCACTCAGTGTCGAGTCTTTTCCAGTGCCGATAGGTGAGCCCGTCGTCTCCAGGCGCCGTGTTCTCGAATTTGCCAAGACGTTTGGAGACATCGGCGCACTGGAACGGGCCCATCGGCACGGGAGCACGGCCGTCCACCATAGAAAAAATGTCGGTGTTGCAGGTAGACGGTGCCCAGACGTCCGGGAAGTGGTCCTCGACGTCTCGAACCGCGACATCACACGACTGTCCCTCGCTCGACAGGATGAGACGCACTGCCCGCCGCCTTTTGCTCTTGTACAGGGACTGGATTGCCTTGGCGTCGGTTGGGTCAATCGCAGTCCTGTTGCCGGAGGCTCCGCCTCCCCCTCACGGGCAACTTGACAATAACGGCGGCTTCGGCGGTCATCTCGTCGACGAGGGAGACAAACCTCAACCACACCTCCTCGGAACACGGTTCCCTATTGAGGACCGTGAAACGCTCCCGGAACTCATGTAGGGGTGTGGTGTCATCTGGCCTGAGGATTTGCGCTCCTTCGTCGACGCCAACACCGCCAGCGTCAGGTTCGGGCAGAGGGACACCCAACAAATCGTCGTCCTTGGCCGCCACGCCGCTCGAGGAGGAGTTATCATTAGAGGCCGGTGAGGAATCACGCGGCCGCCAGAGCTCCGGGCTCGCTACAACAATGCTTGGCGCAGTACCTGTCGGGTTTGAGGCAGAGCCGCCTGTGTCCGGTGGTCTGCTACCGTCCGGTCTTCTTGGCTCAGCTCTCGGTGTAGGTGGCAGTGGTGTGCCGCCTGTGTCCGGCGGTCTGTTACCAGCCGGTATCCTTGGCACATCCACCGTCTGTACCACGGGGACTCGATCATCACCTCCGCGCGTCGGGATCGGGGCCGGATTGGCCCGCAGCCGCTGCCTCGTCACCGGTAATGGTAGAGGCACGGCCGCAGCTTCGACGATGACCTGCCACCGGTGGTTGCGAAGGTATTTCGCTAGGCCCTGCTTCGTCGGGAACGACATCTCGCAGTCGGCCACCGTGCAGGTGTGCTGACCAACGACGTTCTCGGCGGCTTCAATGTTGATCCCACATTTGTGGGCCCCGGGCCGTATCCCGAGCACCGAGCGACACCCGACGCATCGCACCACGGTGGAGTCCACTTCCTCGTGTAGGTCACGTATGTGCCGCACGACGGATTGCTTGGCACTGGTCCACAGTTTTACCCGGAACTTGGCCGGGCAACCGTCGTGTGGGCAGCTGATGGTTGTTGGAAGCGGAAACCAAAACGTGAGGGTGCGGTTGACGAGCGCGGGCTGTTTTCGATGCTTCCCCCGGAGCTACCACAGTCGGACACTGAGTCGCTATCCGACTCGTCACTGTCTAGTGGCGACTCCGGGTTGGCTCGGTTGGACGGGCCGGCCACCTGGTTGTTGCCAGCATGGTCGGCCATCGGACCCGGTTTTTTACGGGGCGCACCTGCGACGCACCAGGTACGCCGGAACGACGCAATAAAATATAATAATAACAAAGAGAAAAAAACTCACGTGACGGTGTAGACCAGAATGTTCCAAAAGGCGGCGTTCAGCTGGTCGACGTAGAATTCACAAACAGCTGGGCCTGCGTGATCCAAAAGGCGTATTAAATACTGATTCCCTCGGCCACAGGAATATATAAAAACATAAAAAAAACCGTTTTTGAATATTGAATCTTGAATAATAATGTACATTATTACAAATGTTGTAAATTTGCAAGTTTTCTGTTTCTAAGTTTTCTTATTGATATAAGATCAGTACTAACTTATATGTTAAAATAAATATACGAGTTAAATTATAAAAGTTTCAAAAATACGATAGCTCGTGGTAACAGTCATTACTCATTAGCAATAATAATAGGTATTATATTATATATTATAAAAATACAAAATAATTTTCAAACTCATACAGTCATACAGCCTACTTATAATAAATTATCTTAATTATTATAGTAAATATTATTAAATAATAGAAGCCTAAAGGTATATAAAAAGTTTATTTCAAAATATTTTACAATAATACTAATAAAATCACGGAGATAGTGCCTAGCCAATACCTATACAATAATTACCACACCAATTTGTTTGAATCTAAAGAAAAATTAATAAAAAGTATTGGAAATAAAAAATAGTACAGCATTTTGATCAGAAATTATCCATCCTCTCGTCTAATGGATACACATTGAGAGATAGATGAGAGCAGATGGTAAAATAGGAGAATAATATAATAGTACGTAATTCATTTTTTTTTTTATGTCGGTATCTAAGTATAATAAAACATTTTTTCAAATACCTATAGATTAATATATTACAATACATAGGTACAGATTGTATTGGTGACCGTGACAGTTTTTTCAAATTAAACAATAACGTTATATGTACTCCTGGGATAATATATAAGCTAATACCCACATACATCATGTTCAAATAAATACACTTGTGAAATTACAAATGTCTCAAAAATACGCTAAGTATGTTCAAATAATTTTAATTTTAGAGCATTTATTGTATGCATTTGAAATTTCAAATAACCCATGACGTCTCGCCACCCCCCCCCCCCCCCCCGACGGATTTATCGATATCCCTTTTGAACGAATAGCGTACGAACGTTTATATTGCGCGTACAAATACGTACGAATAGTGTAATAAGTATTGGAAAAAAAAAATTTCAAATAACCAATGTCGTGGGCTGGCGTGACGTCTCGCCAGCCCCCCCCCCCCCTGACGGGTTTTTGATATATCTGAGCCACTTTGTTCATACAAATTCTTCAAAAATGCTTACAAATTCGTACAAAAAGCATACTAAAAGATATAAAAATAAATTTTCAATATTTTTAAAATGGGGGGGGGGGGCTGGTGTGATCTTCTTCAGCAGCTTGCTTGGTTACAGTTGTATATTTGGATGAATTTTTTGTGTTTTTAATTATGTTCCCATCATCTTCACTAGATTTATTTGAAAAACTACCTAGATTAAATTATAATATTGATTAGTGAAGCTTCAACAGTTTCGCGACTTAGTCCACGTACCTACCGTAGGAAAAAATTCCTTCAACAGCTGCAATTATAAGTAAAGACACGGAAACTGGAGAAGCAAAACAAAACTTCACTATAATAGGTACTTTAAATAAATAAGAATCTAAGGGTCATAATATTTGAATATTTATGCATGATAAACTGGAACAAATGAATTTTACCAACCCCCTCATGATTTTCAAATTTTTTTTTCAAACGTCTTGTTTTTTATGCTTAAAACGATGGTGTAATTTTTTTTTTCCCGGAAACTATTATTTTAAAAGTTATAGAATTCCAAAGTTTACGATTTTACGTTTATGCGCGTGCGCGCAACGCTACTTGACTGCCACGGGCAGTGCTATAACAAATAAGATTATTTTTTTTGCGTTTTTTAACAAAAAAATGGAAAATATCCCCCTATTTGCTGTGTAAAACCACCTTGGGTAAGCCTCGGAATTAAACAAAGTTGTTATAAAGCTGTATTTTTTGCAATATATATTTTTAAACTGTAAAGTTGTATATTTCACCTTATAAATGACCTGATTTATAATTTTACTCACCCAAAAATTACTGTCCCACAACTTGTTAAAATACGTAAAAAAAAAAATTAAAATTTGTTATAGGAGCAGCGCGTGGCGCATAAACGTGAAATCGCAAACTTTGGAAGGCTATAACTTCTAAAATAATGTACAGTGTACAGTACACCATTGTTTAAGCACAAAAAACAAGTCGTTTTTGTAAAAAAAAATTAAAATCCTGTGGGGTTGGTAAAATGCACTTTAGCTAAAACTATTTAACTTAAGAAACATTCATTATTATTATTATCTAGTTTTTATTCGGTCTATTCGAATAGTTTTAATTTTAAAATTATTCGGTCATATAAAAAAACATTCGATAGTGCCCATCACTAAATTGGACGGTTTTTAAGAGAAAGAGCTTAAGTCAAAAATCGATACTTTTTAGGAGACTGTAACGATGTAGAATTGCCATTCTATTTAATTAGGACGAAATATGTGTCGCCATCTATGTATGCGCCAACGCGCGAACAAAAACTATTGACGCGCGCCGCCGCCCCGACATGAATACCTATTCATATCACGAACTTTTCACTTTGACGACTTATTTAAGTGCGGTGAACAATACAAATTAAAGCTGAACAACGTCCTTAACACAACCAACATACCACGAAGTCTCAAAGAAGTTTGTATTAAGAAAAAACACAACTTAAACTAAGAAAACAAATAACGCAATGACGCCGCATAGAGTGCGCGCCATCACACAGGTTTTCCGACCGTCAACGATTCCTATGACTTTACGGAAAACAGCCATAACAGTCCGTAAAACCATTGTGACCATCGTCTTCCCCAGAAGATTTCACACTAAATACATATAGCCGCCCACGGGGTAGAAGGTCTACAACTTACATAAACGTGATGTAATCAACTACCTACTTCCGTCCATACAGCGCACCACCGTCCACCAGTAATGCGAACATAGCAGAAATATAAGCCAGCACGGCCTATGCATTCATCATACATTCGACATTCAACAAACAGTCGACATTCAATACGCCGTTTTCTTACACGTTTTAACTTACCACCTTTCATTACCAGTGTGTAACTTAAAACCGTCTTCTCCCGCAAAGCCCTCTCCTTATACTCACAGTGTGGGTGGTGGTACGCCTCAAAACGTACTGTTCAAGCCACTCACACTTAACAGTAGACGGAGGGGAAGATCCCCACAACACTCTCGCTAGGTATCGGTGGTGGTAACCTAACCTAACGCGAAGAGCCAAGTTGGCGTGTAGTCGAGGAGGAAACACTAAGCCTACACAGATACATCGAGTACGCAATTGGAGCGCCTAGGAAAACAGCACCTGCGCAAAGGCAAAACAGATGGTCCTTTAGGAAGCTTGATCAGGCGAAACTGGAAGAAGCACTTAAGTGTGCATACGCAACAACTAATGACGTCGAGGAAGCTTCCGACCAGACTATTGGATGGCTGTCAAAGGCATGCGATGCCAGTATGCCTAGATCAGGGCAATGCAACCGCCGACCTGTGCCATGGTGGAACACAGATCTTGCACAGCAGAGGAAGAAATGCTTAAAGGCACGCCGAGCATACACGCGGAAAAGGAAAAAATCGGACGAAAACGGTTGTATGGCTGAACGCGAATCCTTCCAACACGAAAGAAAATCGCTGTCGACCATGATTCAGGCGGCAAAGGAGGATAATTGGAAACGGATATGCGAACTCGTAGACAACGACCCATGGGGCCTTCCCTACAAAATTGTAATGAGGAAGCTCAATATCAGGAAGCCGATCCCCGGCATTAACCTACCAGGACGCATGGACACCATAGTGGACAATCTGTTCCCCACCAGGGTGAACACTCCGAGGACAATCGTTGACGTCAGTTCAGAAGATCTCGCGCGGGCTTTTTTCGCACCGAGCGAGGTGGCAAGCATGGCGGTGACCCTTCCAAGCGGAAGGACTCCTTGACCAGATGGAATAGCCAACGAGGTGTTGAAGGTGGCCGTAAGACTATATCCCCAGCGTTTTTCGACGCTCTTTAACAAGTGTATCAGGAGTGCTGTATACCCTGCAGCCTGGAAGGTAGCAAACCTAGTGCTCCTTCGAAAACCCGGTAAAGCGCTGGACAACCCGGCAGCATACCGACCGCTGTGCATGCTCGACACAACGGGCAAACTCTTCGAAAAATTGCTAACTGCAAGACTGCGCGAGCACCTGATACTAACCGGAAACACAACCGACAACCAGTACGGGTTCAAAAGAGGTAAATCCACTGTAGATGCTATGTCCAGGGTGCGGAACATATTCCAAGAGGCAAACGGCAGAGGGTCACGCAACCTATTTGTTGGAATGTTAACCCTAGATGTAAAAAACGCATTCAATAGTGCCCCATGGGAAGGCATTCTAAATGCACTCGAAAGAAAAGGAACACCTGGGTACCTCCTG